CACTACATGGGAGTCCAGTGACATAGCCATTACGCTAACTGCTGGTCCCCCAAGAGTCAGTGTTTTAAGGACAACCCTGAGCCTGCCCCTTCTGGAAGCCCCCACTCCCCTCACCACCCTGTCCCCACTGTCCTCCCACTTGCTGGTCCTGCGTGTTAGGATGAGATGGGATCCACGTCTGCCCTCCAGAGGCCCCCTCACCCGCTCTACAGGGTGGCTGTGCTGAGCCCCTCACGCGTGCTTCGGTGAACAGACAACTCACGACTCTGTCTTGTTTCCCAGTCAGAAATCTGGACTCTTGGGGCCAGCAGGTGGTGGGGTGGTTAAGGGCACTGGACTCCCACATGGCCGACCTTGGTTCTAGTCCCAGACCTGGCAGCTTGCTTTCTCACTTTCTCTCTCTCTCTCTCTCCCCCACCCTCCCTCTCTGGTCAAATTAAAATAAAAAATAAAAAAAGTAAATTAAATAAAATAATTATTAAAAAAAAAATAAAGAAATCTGGACACTTAGCCTCCTGTTCCCCATGCCTAGGGCAGGGCCTGCCCATAACAGGCACTCCATCACTCCATCAGCATATTTTGAAACAAGTAAAAGACAGCCTGACCCGTGACCTCTTGGGCCACTCACCCGGATTCCCTACCTGAGGGATGCCAGCACCTTGGCCATGTTGAAGCCGTCCAGCACCTCCTGAAGCTGTTCGCAGCCTTCTTCTCCCAGGGTGTTGCCTGCTCACAGGGGAGGGAGGGAGTCAGGCCCGACCTGGCTGGGCCATGTATGTGGTCAGCCCACCCTGCTTACCATTGAGGTCCAGCTTCTCCAGCGCAGTCTTGTCCGCAACGGCCTCGGCAACAGCCAGGGCGGCATCTCTCTTGATTTCACAGAACGACAAGTTCAGCTCCTAAACATAAGAAGGGGATGAGGCAGGTCAAAACTGGGCCGAGACCAGTCCCCTCTCCAGACTAGGTGCGGGAAGAACAGCACCGACGAGGAGCGAAACACCACGCACCCAACAACGCACTAGTCCAATGTGTCTACTTGAGCTATGCGGTGACAACGTCCCTCCCCCCTCCCGAACTATAGCACGGACAGGTGAAGAGATGCACTCAAGGACAAGCATGGAGGCAGAGTAGCTGGGATACAGCCTCGGGCCCACCTGCTTCAGCACGAACCCCCGCCCACCCCCGCCCATGGGCAGTAACCCGTGAGCTGGGGGGCAGCCTAGACCCTGGAGGGAAGATGGCAGTGGGCAGACTGGCACCTTCAGCTTGGGCAGGCCTCCGCGGACAGCATCTGCAATGGCAACTGCACCCTTGGAGCGCACCAGGCAGTCCCCGAAATTGATCACCTCCACCTGCCGCAAGGTCTTCAGAGTCTGCAAGGTGACAAGAGTCCAGGTAAGGTTACAGGTCTCATCCTGGGCCTCTACAGACCCCGAGGGGTCCGACAATGTCATATCCCATGTCACCACACACAGTTCTGTGTCCCGGTCTGCTTCCTCTGCCTCTTTGCTCTTCTTGTCACCTCCTTGTTGGCTTCTAGGTCCTTGGCTAAGGGCCTACCCTATTCCCATGTTAGAGCCCAAACTGCTCCTGAAGCATAACCCTAACCACTCAACACCACTGCTTAACACCCCCCAGGGCTCCTGCAGGCCTCAGGAGTTAGCAAGGTCATGAGGCCTTGCCCCATCTTTAGCCCTCAGTCACTCCTTAAACCCTGGTCCTCGGGGCCTCACTCATGCCTGAAACATCCCACCCTTTCTGTCCAGAGAAAATCCACCTGTACTGTAAAACTCAGCCAAAATGTGGCTTCGTCGAGGAAGCCTCCCTATGTCGGATTTGAATTTCTGTCCTGTATGCTCGCCGGCACTTGCATGTGCCCTGCTAACACCTATGGCTACAGGACTAGTCTCTGAGAGGCCCCAGAGCTGGTACACAGGCAGCACTGCGTTCTGGGCCCTGCACCGCCACAGATGAGCAGGCCCTCGACTCCTCCCTGTGTGGCCTGCACTCCATACAGAGCACCCGCTCCACAGGGGTTCAATACACAGGCGCTGCCCAGCTCTATGATGAAGGTGGGGCTAGGGCTGCCTCCTGTGCAGCCCAAGAAGAAAGCCAGCACCCACCACTGGGGGCAGGGCACAGGCGTAGCTCAGAGGGCAGCACCACTGCTCAGCTGCCCGGGAGAGGCCCAGGGTTTCTTGTCACACATGAGCCCGATCTGGACGTGTTCAAGTGAGCTGACCCGGTAGCACGCACCAGGCAGGCAGGAAGGTAGGGGTGGAGCAGCTGCCAGCCAATGAAGTCAGGGCTGACTGCAAAGGCACTAGCCAGGCCCAGTTCACCAGCCCCAACCTGGCCCTGACGCTGCCCCTGTCCCTGGCCTCACCTCAGCCATAGCCATGGCGCCCTTCTCTGTGAAGGTGTTGTCGTTCAGGTTGACGACCCGCAGCAGGGGGTTGATGGCGAAGGCCTGGGCCAGGGCAGTGATGCCAGGGTGGTTGATGCCATTCTGTGGCATGTGGACCTCCTCCAGAGTCCCGATGATCTGCGGAGCAAGGGGGGAGAGTGGAGATGGGGCCCCCAAGTGCCAGGGACCCCAGCAAGCAGGAGAGCAGCACTGAACGCCGTAGGGAGGGTGGCCAGCAGCACCCCTCCCCTGTGGCTTTCTGGGCACAGACCTCCAAGCATTCTTTGGGCATGGCTGCATCTGACCCCCTTCACAGCCTCAAGAGGCTGAGACTAGATTAGGATCCCTCAGAGATAATGAAGATGAGAGACCACCGAGGCTGAGACGTACCCAGTCACACAGCTCTGAGGCAGGAATGTGACTTCTTGGTCTGGTGTCCTCTTCACCTGGGGACCCTGTGCCTAGAACTTAGTCAGGGCCCTATTTTGGATGGTGCAGCTCTGCTCAGCCTTCCCTTCTGGGGGCCTTCCCACTCGGTCTGTACAACATAACTGGCATTCCACGTGCCACATCTGTTTTCTGGGATGAGAAGATCTTCAAAAACCCATCTGGCCCTTTTTCAACCTGGCCTTTTTTTTTTCCCTTAATAAAGAAATTTTTTTTTAACTTTATTTACTTATGTATTTATTTTTAACTTTGACCAGAGAGGGACAGAGCAAGAGAGTGAGAGAGAGAGAAAGGGAGGGGAAGGGAGAAAGCAAGCAAGCCAGCCACCAGGTCCAGGACTCAAACCACAGTTGGCCATGTGGGAGTCCAGCACCCTTAACCACAACGCTACCTGCGGCCCCTCAATCTGGCCTTTTGACACCGCATTCTCTTTGCCTGGAACAGTCTCCTTACATGTGAGCACTTTCTTTTGCTTATTATTTTTTAAAGCTTTATCAGAAGCTTGTGCATTCACCAGAGAGACAGAAAGGGAAAGGAAGGAAGGAGGAAAGAAGGAAGCACCCCTACGCCACCTCCACGCCCCAGGGGACAGGACCGGCCACCATCCCTTCTCCTCCATCTCGGCTTCCTTTCAGAATTTTCACACACACACACACGCCTGGCATGTCTTTCAAACCAACAGGTCCAGGATGGGAACCACTGCCATCGCCATGTGGGATTCAGCTCCTCTGACCACCAGACCACAGACTGGCCTTGTCAGCATTTTCTTGACAAGCTGACTCCTATCTATTCCACAGCTCTGCGGACACGTCCACCCCCAAGAAGGCTTCCTGGTCCCTCCCCGCTCACGGGGTTCTGTGTCCTGGAGAATCAAAGTTTATGTTCGCATCTGCACCCTCTCAGCTCACGCTCGGAGACAGGCCTGTGTCCCAGTCTCTACTGCTACGCAGGACAGAGGACAGACCTGGCATGGACATGCCCAGCACCTTTTGCTGCCCCTGGGTGGACAGCCTGGAAGCCGGGGGAGGGAGAGGGAAGAAACAGGGGCAGGGAGGTGGAGGGTCACAAAGAAACACAGGAAGGCCAGCTGAGCACATTAAAGGCAGGGCTTCTTATACCCGCTGTGGCAGGGACCCTTCATGCAGGCTGATGAAGGCCTTCAGTCCTCTTCCTCAGAAAAAGTTTTTTTATTTTAAGATAAATCATACAGAATCATAAGAAAATCAATTCAATTCAAATTATTGTCAAAACATTTAGGAAAGGGACCAGCAGTTGGCGTAATGGCTACGTTGCTGGACTCCCATGTAGTCGACCACGGTTCGAGTTCCAGACCCGGTGGCTTAAACTCACGCCAGGCAAGTGAGCATGTATGCCCAAGATCCCGAGAGGAGAATGGAGGAGAAGGGATTGCAGTGTGGCCATCCCCCCTGGGGGTGATTTCTCACTTCTGCCTCTCTGCCTCTCTCTTTCTGGTGATCACACATGCCCTATAGGAAAACCCCAGATGTGTGCCGTAGTGATACATGTACTTCATATAAAGTGCCCCGTAATGAGACCTTGGGTGGTCTACTATAATGGTAGCTTAGAGATCACGAAAAACACCCATTTCTATGCATCCACAGGGACTATAATTTGATATGAGGAACCAGCAAGTGGTGTGGTGGTTAAGGCGCTGGACTCCCACATGGCGACCACAGTTCGAGTCCTGGACCTGGGGGCTTGCTTTCTCACTTCCCCTTCTTTCTCCGTGTCTATCTCTGGTCAAATTAAAATAAATGAACGAATAAATAAAATTAAAATGAATAATTAAGATGAATAATTTTTAAAGAAATCATAAATGTTCTTTTTTTAAATAAAAGTTCAGTATGAAACATCGTGACTTCCGTTGTTAGGGTTACTGTCCACACATGCAACTCGAGGCCATGCCCTGGACTGCCACGTGAGGGGTACTAATGACGTGATTTTACCCCACTCGTGTTCACAGACTCCACACCCCTGCCAATTCTAGCCACAGACTGGGGGGTCCCACAGACCTCAGCTTGAGCACCCCATCCTCCTCCTCCTTCTTCTTTTTAAAGAGCTTTGCTATAGGCGGCTGACACTCACCGCTAAGAGGCAGAGAGAAAGCAAAAATAAGAAATCTTCCCCCGGGGGGAATGGCCATACCACAGTCCCTTTTTCTCTATTCTCTTTTCAGGATTTTGGGCATGCGTGTACATGTACCCAGCATGTTTTTAAAGCTGCTGGGTCCGGAACTTGAACCAGAGATGACCATGTGGGATCCAGTGCCTTAACCACCAGGCCACCTGCAGACGCGAACACCCCATTCTAAGCATATCAGAGGACACCCTACAAAAGCTTAGAATAGTCATAGCCTCCCCCAGTTCCCGGTGCACCACAGACAGCAGGCCAGGGCAAGGGTGGATGTGAGGACGGCAAGGACAGCCATAAGTCTCCTCCGGTTCTGGGGAGGAGGCAGGCGCTCCCAGCAACCCACTCTAGACAGCAGGGCTGGAACAGTCCCTCTGGCCTCAGTATGGTTAGTGCTACTAAAATGCTATTGACTGAATAAAACATTTAAATTCGGAGGGAGGCAGATCACAACAGGTGTGACCCTCTCCTGGGCTTACCACTAGGGACTATGGGACATGACCACCCAAGAGCATGTCACCTGTGTCCTTGGTATGCCTGTCTCCCTGTCTCTGGGAGGTCTGACTGACCCTTTTTTTTTTTTTTGGAGAGTTTTTTTTTTTTTTTGCTATAGGGCGCGTGCGCTTGCCAGACAAAGACAGAGAGACAGAAAGAGAGAAATCACCCCAGGGGGGATGGCCATGCCGCAATCCCTTCTCTTCCATTCTCCTTTCGGGATCTTGGGCACGCACGCACACACGCCCAGCGTGAATTTTAAGGCACAGGGTCCGGGATGCAAACTGCAGTCGACTATATGGGAGTCCAGTGACATAGCCATTACGCTAATTGCTGGTCCCTGACCGACCCTTTTCTGTGCCCCATGCATCTGAGGCCATGCTGGGATTCACACAGGTCTGGTGCCACCACCCTGCCCTGCCCAAGGCCCCCGAAGTGGTAGATCATGCGCATTTTTCAGACACACACACAACAGAAAGGAGCTGGCGGGCTCGGCAGTGCCTCAGTGCTTGGTGGGGTGCAATGGGTAGAAACTACTTACCCCAAAAGCTTCTGCCAAGGCAGTGGCTCCATCGTTCTCCAGCCGGTTTCTGCCAGCCACGAAGACTTTCAGAGCCAGGGGCTTGCCCTGGGCACTGGACTTGTGGTGACACTCGGTCAGAGCCGCTGCCAGGATCTGTGGGGAGAGGCAAAGTGCAGGCCGTGGAGAAGGCTTCTCCCAGGGGGCAGCAGCCCATGCTACCCAGTGGTGGTGGACACGGGGACAGAGAACCATGGCGAGCACGAAGGTCAACCTCACACATGCCCAGCACTTTACAGCTTACCCAGGGCAGGAGGCCAAGGCCCACTGAGGGAAGGACGAGACCAACACCCAGTGACCAAGCTCAGGTCCAGGCTGGGGACCCCGTTAGCTCCCTCTGCTGTCAGGATCCCCCTGCCAGGCAGGACTGTGACAATTCCCATTTGTCCAGCAGATGAAACATAGGCAGAGAGAAGCCTTCATATAGTCACTAAGCAAAGGGCAGACTTAACCAGAACCCAAACCTTCCAGCTTCTTTTCCACTCCTCATCATGCCCAAGGGAGGGGCCATAAGACCCAGCTGCACCGGCTGATATCCACCTGTGCCAGCCTGCCAGGCCCAGCAGGGTCTTCCCAGGGGACAGACCTAAAACCCAACCTGCCTTGTCCTTGGTGTGGTGCTGGGAGGTAGCTGCCACCCTGGTTAAACCACCGGGAAACGGTGGGGATCACAGCCCAGGGTAAACGTGACATAGGAGATTCCCAAGCAAGTGCACGTGGGAGACATTTCCAGACTAGGGCCTGAGCACTCCCAGCAAGGCCTGCACACTTGCTTGTTTCAGTCCTCAGGATCCACTTCCCTTTACAGATGAGGAAACTGAGGCTCAGAGAGGTGAGGAGTCAGCCAGGGTCACACGGCAAACAGCTGTTAATAGCAGGATGCCCACCCCTGGCTTGAGAAGGCATACATCCATCCTTGAGGAATCTCCAGGCCACCCTCACTTGACTCCAGGTTGGTGACAGTGGGTGCATATGCTGAGGTAGAGGCATGGAACTTCTGTCACAGACCAGGCTCTGAGGGAGGGGTCCTCTCAACGTGGCCAGTAACAGTGCTAGCTCGCCAGTTCTCTTGGTCCCTGAGGCCACCACAGTGAGGGCCTGAGCTCCTGCAGGAGGAGGAACAGAATCTGCTGAAGAGTTCCTGAGAGCAGGGCTACACCGCATGTCCCTCCGAGTGGAGCCACACTGAGTCCACACAGCCCCAGGAGTGCAGGTCGGCAATGCTGGACCTGGGGGCCTCACAGAGTCAGAGGCAGAGAGAACTGCAAGTCAGACTCCAGAGCTGACCTGCCCTGTGGCAGATGCCCCGGGTCCAACACTCTGCTCCCCCAAGTTTTCCCAGGCACTGCAAGTATAGGACAGGCCGGATGACCACTCGTCAGTGGGAAATCTCCGAGCCTCAGCTTCTCAGCACTGCCGTGCAGCAGAGGAAAGGAGGTAGAGGGAGGAAACCAAAGCATGTTACAGAAGGTAGTGTCCCCCGCCATCCTGCACTTCCCACTCACTCTGGGAGGCGCTACACCTGCTTTTTGCACTGACATAAACATTCTAAAAAATTATTTATTTAATTCCATTTATTATTATTACTTTTTAATTTGACCAGAGGGAGAAAGAGAAAGAACGCGAAAATGAGAAAGCAAGCCACCAGGGCCAGGACCCAAACCACAACTGGTAATGCACTAATCCAGCACCCCCAACCACCACACCACCTGCTGGCCCTGACATACATTTTGTATCTCTTTTAAAAAATGACCTATTTAGAGAACCAGCAGTTAGCGTAATGGCTATGTTGCTGGACTCCCACATAGCTGACCACAGTTTGCGTCCCCAACCCGGTGGCTTAAAACTCACGCCGGGCACGTGTGCGTGCATGCCCAAGATCCAGAGAGGAGACTGGAGGAGAAGGGATTGCGGCGTGACCATCCCCCCTGGGGGGGGGGGTTTCTCGCTTTCTGTCTCTCTGTCTCTCTCTGTCTGTCTGGCGAGCACAAGCGCCCTATAGCAAAAACTTCTCAAAAAAAAAAAAAAATTATTTCTTCCAGGAGAGAAGGAGACAGAGACAGGGGCCCCCAAGAGTCCTCACGCCACAATCGTCCCCGCAGCCTCAGCCAGACAGGATCACAGGCACACACACCTGTTGTGAACAGGGAGTCCCGGGACGTTGCCCTAGAACCCTCCCCACGTGGCCTCAGCAACACGGAGCACCTCTGCCACACCACAGCTGGCCTACAGTCTGACATCTCTGCACACAGACAGCTACTGTGTTGGACAGGGGAGGCCTGAAGAGACAGGTCAGGTGCACCCCACTCTCCCTCTGGTGAGGCAGAGTGGAGGACACCACTCTGGCTCCTTGGTCTTGCTGCTGTGATCAGAACCATGTAGGCAGAGGTTCAAACCTCACAGCCGTGTTACATGTGACCCACTCAACGCCACCTCTCTAAGCCCAGGCTTAGTTGTGGAAAAATGGGGATGACACCACCACTCAGTGTGAGTGAGGCAGTTAATGTCAGGTCTAGAGTCTGTCTTCACAAAGATGCCCCCACCCTGCCGGTGCCTTGAGTCTCAGCTCTTTGCTCCGTCTGGTCAGAACGGGTGTGTGTGTGTAAGGAGCTACAGATCACCTGTACTCAAGCGATGCTCAGCTCTGGGCCTGAAGAAGCCAGGGGCCAGCCATGGAGGTGCAGGCAGTAGGGCGCCACTGTGCATTACTGGAGCCATGTGGGACGACAGGGCTACAGACTGACCTGAACTCTGTAGGTGCACCTAAGATCCTAGCTGGCCCTCCTGGAGGGCAACAGGAGGATTTCAAGACCCAATCTGGGCTCCCTGTCTCATCAAACTTAAGAAAAAAAAAAAAAGTAAAAAGGCAGGATGGATCTAGAAGAGGACGAGGAGTAATGGTCTCCCTTGGGAACAAGGACGCGCTTTTCTGATGCGCTGGCAGGAAGGACAGGAGGGGGCAGCCTGGGGAAGGTCCTACCCTGCAATAAAGGTAAGCTGGGTCCACCTTGTCCCTCTTGGCCTTCTCCCTCCTCTGCCAGCCATTCCAAGGGTGCGATAAATGAAAGCATGCCCTGAGCCCCATGTTCTGCAGAGCCAGCAGGTTGGAGCAGCTAGCAGCACTGCTGCCTCTGCGTTGCCAAGCCAACGTAAGAACTTGGGATGGTTGCTTGGCAACCCCACCCTCAGGCTCCTCTCCCACTGGCCACAGGCTCCTGCCTCTGAGGCCTTCCTCCTCTGAAGAGCAAAACAACAGGCCGTCCATCCCTGACAAGGTGCCCAAGGGCTGAGCACACACTTCGGGCGATGAGGGTGTGGCAGGAGACACCACAGGGTGGGCAGGAGGCAGGGAGGAGGAAGGGGAGGAGAGGGAGGGCTGTCGCACCCACCTTGCCACCGCCGATGCCCATACCGCAGTTGTTGAGCTTGAGCTCGTGCAGGGTGAAGCAGGCTGAGCTCTTGAGCAGGGCCTCAAAGCCTCGCACGCCATCGGGTCCGAACGCGTTGTCACTCAGGTCCAGCTCCACCAGCTGAGCCCCAGCTGTGATGAGCCCCTCCCCTAGTGAGATCTGGGCACAGAGGGAGCTCTGGTCAGTTTCACTGCCACCTGCCAGGTGCTGCTTCTGGCCCAGGCCCAGCCCTGCCTCTAGGAGGTATCCAGCTAATAGGAATTAGCACACAAAGGGCATTTCAGCGCAAACTTTCCTTCCTTTTTTTTTTTTTTTGAGAGAGATTTTTGCTATAGGGCACATGCACTTGCCAGACAGACGGAGAGCAAAAAACCACCCCCCGGGGAGATGGCCATGCCACAGTCCTTTCTCCTCTATTCTCCTGTCAGGATTTTGGGCACTCATGCACACGTGCCTGGTTTTTCAAGTTGCCAGGTCCAGGACTCAGACCATGGCTGACCACGTGGGAGTCCAACACCTCGATTACTATGCCCCCTGCTGGCTCCAGGCTTCTCCTTCTTATACACCCAAGACTGGAAACCCTGCACAGGGCTCTTAACTCTGCTAGGGAGCAAGGCCTGTGTGTGCGTGGGGAGATCTGGGAAAGCTCCCTGTACAAGGTGGCATTTGAGCTCTGTCTGGACAAGAATCAGACAGTCACCATGAAAAGGTTCCAGCCAGCAGTAAAACATGAGGACGTGGCGAGAGAGACAGGCACAAACAGCAAGCTGTCGCCAGCCTTCCAAAGGCTGAGGCCAGGGCTTTGGCTGGAAGGGAAGTCAGGGGTCAAATCAGGTAAGAGTCTCAAACACAGAGCCAAGAACTGTGAATCTGAGCTGGTGTGCAGAGGGCTGTGAGGTGACTAGGGGATGTGAAGAAACGCCCTTGAACCTGAGAGCAGTCTGATGGGCTGAGCGCCCAGCTGGAGTATGGGGGAGCCTGCAGAAGCGGGGGCTCCCTGGGGGTGCAGGAGGGGAGGCACCACTGTGGCCCATCCCCAAGCCAGCCCGGGACAGGTGTGGCAGAATGCTGAGTTCTCCCGGGAACCTACTAGGCCCCCAGGAATGATCAAGACAGGAGGCTCTGGCAGAGACAGGGGTACACACAGGCAGGGCA